AAAATCTTCCAGAACAGAAAGCTCCAGGCCCTGAAGATTTCACTGGATGAACTCTACCAACATTTAAGGAAGAAATGACACCAATTCCACACAATCTCTCCTAGAATACAGAACAGGAGAGACGACTTTGTAATTCACACAAAGAGGCCAGCATTACCTTAATACCAAAACCAGAAAAAGGACAAGAAAACTACAAACCCTATCCTCATGAGCACAGCCATCCAAATCCTCAACAGCAACAAAAGCAAAGCAAATCTAGCAATATATACAAAGGATACCACCTCAGGATCCTGCGTCGTCCCAGGAATGCAAGGCTGGTTCGATAATCAAAACATCAATGTAATTCACCACATTAACAGCCAAATAAGGAAAAGCCACGTGATCGTCTCAACAGAAGCAGAAGAAACTGAGGTTCTAGGAGGTTCAGTGACTTGCCCAAGGTTACAATGAGGGGCAGAGGAAAGCCCCTACCCTGCTGCCCTGACTGACCCAAAATACTGATGATAAAAATTAGGTCCTTGAGAACTTCCCAAAATCAGTCATCCAATCAAATGGACTGATACTTATTCTAACAAAGTAATAGCAACCAAAGATTTTTCAAAACAATTTGTATAGCAGGCAAACATCTTCCCCCACAAGGCAGTCAAGACCTCCCGCATCTGCCACCGGGATCCTGCCTCCAAGGGTTTAGTCAGGCTCCCGTAGCACAAAAAATCAAGAGGCCTGTCCCCCATCATGGCCTTGAAGCTTCCTGAACACAGAGGCTTTTGCCTTCTGAAGACCACCCTTCGGTGGGCTACCCTTGACAACTTGTAAAGCTCCTCTACACCCTTATTTCATCCTGGTCTTCCTTATAAGCCCCACTTACTCTCCCTGATTTACAGATCAGGAAACTGAAGGGCACCTCTTGACACCTACACTAAGTGAAACCACCCATCTGCTCATGAGAGCAGGTGAGTCCATATGAAAAGGGCATGAAAGGGGCCCACATGACTATGCCCTGGCAGACTGGGTTCTCCAAGAAGCCAGCACCCCTAGGCCCCACTGGAGCCATCTTCTGAGTCCTGGAGGCACCCCTGCCCGTGATCAGCAAACTGGCAGTCCCTGCTGCCATCCACCCACCAGCCAGCTTGCTTCATGCCACTGGGAGGCTGAGGAGCAAGGCTCTGGAACCCCAGGGTGTGGAGGGCAAAGGGCTACAAAGGGCCATTGTCAGCGAGGCCATAGCAGGTACACTCCTCAACCCAAAGGGTTAATTTTTTTTTTAATCAAAAACAAAACCAAAATTCCCTATCAGCTGGAACAGACACAGAAAATGGCTGGTTAAGGGTATTGTACCCCAGGGCTGCACTGTTCGGAATAGTCTTAAAAGTAATGCCAGGGGGCGCCTGGGTGGCTCAGTTGGTTAAGCGACTGCCTTTGGCTCAGGTCATGATCCTGGAGTCCCAGGATCGAGTCCCGCATCGGGCTCCCTGCTCAGCGGGGAGTCTGCTTCTCCCTCTGACCCTCTCCCTTCTCATGCTCTCTCTCTCTCTCTATCTCATTCTCTCTCTCAAATAAATAAATAAATAAATAATCTTTAAAAAAAAAAAAAAGTAATGCCAGGGCGCCTGGGTGGCAGTCGGTTGAGCATCTGACTATCGGTTTCAGCTCAGGTCCTGATCTCAAGGTCATGGGATCGAGCCCCGAGTGGGGCTCCGTGCTCAGTGGGGAGTCTGCCGGAGATTCTCTCTCCCTCTACCCGTCCCCCCCGCCGTGCTCGCTCACTCTCTGGAACAAATAAATAAGTCTTTTTTTTTTTTTAAGATTTTATTTATTTATTTATTTGAGAGAGCAAGAATGAGAGAGAGAGAGAGAGAGAGCAAGCACATGAAAGGGGGAAGGGTCAGAGGGAGAAGCAGACTCCCTGCTGAGCAGGGAGCCCGATGCGGGACTCGATTCCGGGACTCTGGGATCATGACCCGAGCCGAAGGCAGTCGCTTAACTGACTGAGCCACCGAGGCGCCCCACAAATAAATAAGTCTTAAAAAAAAAGGAATGTCACCGATTTCTTTTTACTTTTTAAAATGCGGCTACTAGAAAAGTTTAAATGATAAATGGGACACATTGCATTCCTATCAGATGGTGCTGGACTCGCAGGCTGAGATCCTGCAGCTCAGATACCCATAGGGTAAAAAGAAACCTTCGTGCTCACTTGGGCCAGGGACTGACGGGCTTCTTTTAAAAGCAGAGATTTTGATTGAAGAAGGAGGAGAATGATCACAAGACAAATACATAACTAATGTTGTGTTGTTGTTGTTGTTGTTGTTGTTAAGAAAAAATCCTTTGCTAACAGGAAGCTTAGCTGTGCCAACAAAGGCAGCAGCGGAACAAACTGAATCTTAGTCAACTAGGGTCACCCTGACCTGTCTCCAGAAGTGCTCCCAGTTCCCTCCAACTCCATAGCCCCCTCAGACTCTGGAGTAAGGAAGAGAGCAGAAAAGCCCATCCCCCACACACCCAGTTAACCTTCCCCTCCCCATGGCTGATTCTTACTCCTGCTGCCAGGTCTAGAAAAACGGGCCTTGCTCAGATGACCCGGCAGCACCCTAAAACTCCACTGGGCCTGTGCTGGGCCACTGCCCCCCTTGCATTGTGGCCTCTGGCTCAAAGACATCCCACCTCAAGTTAATGGTGACCTACCCTTCCCCACGGAGTCATTCCTCCAGGAAGCATCCACCCCCTAAGCCAGGCAATGCCGAGGGCGCCCTTGGCATTGCAAGTGCCCTTTCATCCGAGATTTGCTCTGGTAGAAAACAGGAAAAGTCCCACCACTGACCACGTGGGGCCCAGAGATTCTCTAATTGCCATTTGCAGTTTAAGATTCTAAGGATTCCGGGCGCCTGGGTGGCTCAGTCATTAAGCATCTGCCTTCGGCTCAGGTCATGATCCCAGGGTCCTGGGATCGAGCCCCACATCGGGCTCCCTGCTCAGCGGGAAGCCTGCTTCTCCCTCTCCCTCTCCCACACCCCCTGCTTGTGTTCCTGCTCTCGCTATGTCTCTCTCTGTCAAATAAATAAATAAAATCTTTAAAAAAAAAAAAAGATTCTAAGGATTCCATGGGATACCATCATCCTCATGAGGGAGGCTGTTCTTCCTCTCTTCTGCTTCCCACTTACCAATGTCAACTCATCCTGCACTCTGTCAGGGTCAGATGCTAGCCTTCTCTTTGTTCCTTGGACAAATACTCCCCCATTTAAGGCCTTTGCCCTGTCCCTGCTGACCAGAGCTTATCACTGGGTCTCAGATCGCGGGTCACCTCCTCACAGATACAGGGATTTCAATCCCACCTCTCCACCAACTACTCTCTAAAACATTGGCCAGTTTTATCCCCTTCAGTGAATGTTCTATACTCCCAGGCTTATTGTCTTAAAGACTGGCTGTTATTAGTAAATGCATAAAGGGGGGAAATGCTCTAGATTAAAGAAAGTCCAGGCAGAGATGGAGCTCCCAGGCTCCACGAAGAGTGGCTGACTGATGAAAAAGGTGGAAAGGTGGAAAAAAAGGAAGCTCTGACAGAAGGGAGAATGCAGGAGAGGAACAGCCATTGGGAGGGGGAACCTGGGGAGAGACACCAGGAAAAGACAAACTCTCTGGCCTATGACTTTGTAAAGGGGCTGCCGCCCGAGGTAGCCGGGTTCTCCAGCCGGCAGGGCCCGTCCCACCCCGTCCTGGCACAATGCTTACAGGCTGTCAACTCTTTCCACCCATCCACCCGAGAAGGAGGTGATGTTCTGCGGCCAGCTCAGGCCAGGGGGAGGGCGCAAACCTTCCTCTCGCCTCCTCCGCAGAGCTGGCCTCAAGCCCGGGGAGGGGGACGGAACTGCGGCAGGGGGGCCTCCCAGTTCCCACGCATCCACATGCTGCCACCACGCACACTCCCGAACACACCTGGTCGGCCTGCTTCACACGCCTCCACGCCCCGTTCCAGTAGGACACACTCCCACTCAGAACAAACACTCTCGGAGCAACTCTGACCACACAATCCCAGAGGCAAACACACATACACACACACACACTCAGGAACTCTTTCTCCGACACACGCAATCCCTCTTACACGCGCACACGCGCGCGCCCCGCCCTCGAACGCGCAGCCCCGCCCCCACCACGCCCCGCCCCCCGTTGCCTGGGCAACAGGGGCCCCGCCCAGTGGGCGTTGGCGGCGGCGGCGGCGGCCGCCGGGACTGCGGGCCGCAGGACCCACCCGGCCCCGCGAGTCCTCTCTCTGCTTCCCCAGCCGCGCCGCCCGGTCCGTACCTGCCTAAAGTCAACATTGCCGAGGCCTCCGCAGCAGTCGGGCCCCGCCACAGAGCTGCTCATCGGCTCTGCTCCCCGCCGTCACATCCCCTCAGCCGGGCCTCCTCTAGGGGGCCTCCACCGGGGCCTCGCGGCCGCCGACTCACCCCCCAAAAGCACCCTGTCGTACCGGGAAGCTGTGCCGCCCGGGGCGCTTTCCCTGTGACCCCAAGTTCTCTCAGCCTTCTGGGAAATGTAGTTCCCCGTCCCCGCGAGGCGCCACTGCCCTGGAACTCGCGACGGCATCTCGAGGAGCCGAGAGCTGGTAGCCCCGGGGTCGTACGCTGCGGTGACCGCCAGTTCCGGGGCGGCTCTCCCCTGGACCCTTCGGTCCCCGGCTCCCACACCCTGCCCGCCAACTGACCTGGCCTCCCTGTCCTTGGCTGGCGGTGGGGCTCGGAGCCGGCGGCTGCGGGTCCTAGGTATAAGTAGCTTCCTGCGCAGCCCCCTGCGGACTTGGACTTTGGCCCAGGCTCGGGGTCCCCCGCCCCCCCTCCGAGATTTGCTTTTGCCCAGAGGCGGTGCAGGCCGAGCACACCCTGTAGTCTCCTGCAGAGGCTACTCCCCGGGACCCTGGGCCCCCGCCCCCACGGCCTCCCTATTCTTTGGCTCGGCCGGAGACACCTCCTCCACTCCTTTGTTCATTCATTCTCTGGTTCACTCACCGGGTACTTGCTGAACTCGTCTGTGTGCTGCGGGTACAGTAGGGAACAGCACAGGTCCCCGCCCTCACTGTCTCCTAATAGAAGAGACAAAACATGAATAAAGGATTATAACCTGGAGAAGTACTGTGATGGAAAGCAACTGGGGGCGAGGTCCGATGATAATAAGCCAAAGTGCCTTAGGATCCCTTGCGGGAGGCCCGAACACAAAAGAAGGTGCAAGACAGGTGAAGTGTAGGGGCAGGACAATTCCGAAGAGAAACCATGTGTGCAAAGGCCAGGAGACAGGGCAGAATTAGGGGTACTTCAGGAATCCAGAAAAGGCTGATGATCTGTGGCGTAGTGGTGGAGGAGACAGAGTGGGAGGGAAGGAGTTTAGGAAAGCAGGTGGGATTTTAGATGGTCAGGTCCAAGAGAGCCCCTTTTGCAGCCAGGTGTTAATATATATGGGGAAACAGACTCAGAGTCCCAGATTTTCACAGTCTCGCAGCCAGCTGTGAGCCCAAGCGGGACTTTTGCCAAGCCAGCTGCTTCCTGATTCAGGTGGCCTGCTTCTCGCTTCTCTCGCGCTTAGCCCTGAGCACCTACGGTCTTGAGCATCTGCTGAGCAGCCGCTGTGTGCCTGTCCCTGCGCTGACCGCTTTACAGACAGCCCCAACCTTTACAACATCCCTAGCGTGGGGCAGGCCCACCAACCAGACAGGGCGGAGGAAGGACACTGGCTTTGGAGCATGCACCAGGTCTATACCTACGGGCAAATTTCAGTGTCCTCAAATGTAAAAGGGAAGGGGCGCCTGGGTGGCTCAGTTGGCTAGGCATCTGCCTTCAGCTCAGGTCCTGGGATCAGACAGAGCCCCGCATTGATCTCCCTGCTCAGCGGGGAGTCTGCTTCTCCCTCTCCCCTGCTGCTCTCCCTGCTTGTGCTCTGTCAAATAAATAAAACCTTAAAAAAAAAAAAAAGTAAAAGGGAAATACACATCGGTAAAACTCAGTACACATGATCTGACCCACAGGAAGTTAATTACCACTGGCCACAACAGGGCTGAGTACACAATAGGTGCTCAAAAGCTGGTTTGCCTACAGTTGCCCAAGAGTCAGACATGCTCCCCTCCTCCGGGTGTCCAGGCAAGGACTGCCGGACCCCAAGTCAGAGTGCTCCAAAGGGCACTCCCCCCTACCCCCACCCCATGTCTACCTTCCCGAAGCCCCAATTTTCTCCTGACCTACCTGGCTGCTCCCATTGTTTTTTAAGCCAGAAAAATGAGTTTGTTGTGTGTTTGGTGTATCTGGGAACAAAGAAAGGTAAACGTCAGAGGTCACACCAGAGCTGATGCAACTAGAGGAATCCACTCCTCCAGCCCGAATCCACCCCCTGCCCCTTTCTGTGAAAAGAAGACATGGAGAAGCCAGACTGCAGCTTCAAGTGTGATGGGAGTGGTTCAGATCAAAAGCCTCCTGCCCAAGATAGTTTGCGGCAGAAGTCTCTGCCAGGGCCATTTGAAAACTCCCAGGTCTGAGAGCTTGCAGAAATCATCCAGGCCAACCTCTCACGCTGGGATATTCCTTTTTCAGCATCCCTAGCAAGTAGACAAGTCATTTTCTGTCCACATGCCTCAAGTGATGGGAGGCTCACCACTTCGGGAGGTAGCCTGCTCCAGTCTTGGACAGGGTGTTTTATTCATGAAACAGACCCAACGCCACCCTTCATGAAGTTTTAACAAATAGAGCTCCTTTCTACCCTCGGGGTTATCTCTCTTTTCCCCTTGATTATTCTTCAGATAATGGGAAGCCAGTATCGCAGACTATCTCCCAGGTGGCTCCAGGGCAAACATTTCCCAATGACCTCTCTGGCCAGGAGTTTGACAGGAAGGCAAAACTAAAAGCCATTTCTTCATTGCCTTCAGCTTCCTCTTCCCCAGCCTCCACAGGTACTGGATCTGGCTACCTGGCTCCCAGCAATCACTAAAATGGGCTTTTATTACAAAAATTAGCATCTGCTTATTGGGGGCCTTTGGGTAAAACCTAAACCTTTCCCTACTCTGATTCCATTTACTGTTCATAAAATAGGTATAATAATAGCTCTTGAGCAAGGCTGAAATAAGGATTAGTTAGCAATATGCACAAACGTGCCCAGCACCCAGTGGGTTCCCAATCAATGTTTGTCTCCCTCTCTTGTATGTAATTGAGACTCAGCAGTTACGATCACACTGATAACACTCATGGGTACGCTGGGGTCTAGGGCCAGCCCAGCTCAGGGGCCCACTGAGTTCCTGGGAAGAGAGGGAGTGAGAAGCCAGCATGAGGAGACAGCTTGGGCTTGGGGGGCTGGGGGGGGGGGGGGGAGGCGGTGTGCAGGGAGCAGGGGGAGGCTGGGGAGCCTGCACTGCAGGTCACCAGAAACCCATTATCAGGAGTTTTTTTTAAAACCAGGAGGGTAAGGAGGGGTTGCAGCCCAATGCCCAGTGCCTCCCTCCTATATTCAGGCCCCACTGCCCCCGCTTGGCCCAAGGAGGGTCCAGGAATGGGAGAGAAGCAGGTTCAGCAGGAGCTGGGGAGAGAGCTGGGGCAGGGCAGTGCTGTGGATCATGAGTAAACCCTCTCTTCCTCCCCAGACTCAGGAAGGAGCCTCCCTCCTCCCCATTGCTGGCAAGAGGGCTCAGCGGTAGACTCACCTGAATCCAGCCATTTAAGGACCGAGCAACTCCAGCAAGGAGTGGGGACTGGCCAACCTCCCTGACCCCTCCGCAGTGCACAGAGCAGCCAACCCCTGCCTTCCTGCTGGCCTCTTTGCTGTTCCCAGAACACTTCAGGCACACCCTCACCTCAGGGCCTTTGTGCACGCTGTGCCTGCTGCCTGGAATGCTCTTCCCTCCAAAGTCCTCACCGCTCCCTCCCTCACCTCCTTCAGGTCCAGTATCAGCTTTCTGCCCTGTGGAACACGTCAACCTCCCCCCAACCCCGACTCCCCATCCCCTCCCCCCTTTATTCCCCTCCACAGCCCTTAGAGTCATCTAACAAATTGATTTAGCTTATTTATTCATGCAGTGTGGTGTCAGTCTCCCCCGGGTAGACTGTGAGCTTGAGGATGGGGCTTTTTTATCCCTTTATACACAACTCTCTCTGTGGCACCTGGATCATGCCTGACATAAAGGAGGCACTCAATAAGTAAGTAAGGAATGAATGAATGAATGAATGAATGAATGAATGAGTGAATGGATGAATAAATTGTTCTACCACTCCCAAATTTGGGGTATCCATGGGCAAACCACCTCTCTGGGCCTCAGTGACCCTGCCTAAGGAAAGGGGAGGGGAACAGGATCCTTGAACACGAAATCAAAGCAACCCGTGAGCCGTGAAGTCTCCACCCCACCACTCTCTGGCTGGGGGTCTGGGGCAAGTGATTTACCCTCCCTGTCGCTCAGCAGAAGACAAAATTCTACCCATAGAAACAAAGCGCTAAGCTAGTTGGGCTCTTGCAAAGCTGGAGGCTCAGGTCTCAGCACCGGTTCCCTTTATAAGCCCTCGAAGTGCCCTGTGAGGTGGGAAGTGTTATTCTGCTTTCCCGGGTGAGGGAACTGACTTCTGTGGAAGGGACCGGCCCATAGTCAGACAGCTGAGTAAGTGATGTGCTTCAAGCTGGCCAGCCCAAAGTCATGCATGGCCTTTTACCGCTATGCAATCCCGCTTCCCTAGGAAGGGGGAAATGACATAAAAGTGGCCCAGTGCAGGCTCAGCACTTACTCAAATATTCAATGTTCCAAAACACATCATGTTTCTGCTCCATTCTCTGCTTCTTTTCATCACATCCATCCTTCAAGGTCCAGGTGAGCTTCAAGATGCCTGACAATTCCTATAAGGATGAAGGCAAAGCATTCTTCCTCACCATGGCCCCATGAGGTCCCATATGGCCCAGGAGCAGCCTGCCATTCCAGCTCTTACCCTCTGTTCTCCACCCACACTGACCTCATCTCAATTGCTTCCAGCCACAGGGCCTTTGCACCTCCGGTTCCCTGTCTGACACACTCTTCCCTTCTCTTCTTAAAGAGCAAGGGCGTTTCCTGCTTTGGCCACCATCGCATCTCTGGCACCTGGCACATACCGGGCACCTGTGCCAGGCACCCATCGAATTTACCAAAGGAATCGATGAGTGAAGGAAGGCCAAGACTGAATTTTAGCCCAGGGAAGTTATCCCTCAAAACTGGAAACAAAGTAACAATATTTTCAGACAAACAAAGGCTGAGAGAACTCATCACCAGCAGGTAAGAGGAAAATGACCCCAGTCAGAAGCTCAGGAACACAGGAAGGAATGAAGAGCGCTGGAAAAGTTAAATCCCAATGAGTATTAGATGTTTATAAGAATAAAAATATCTCATGGGGGTTAAAAGGTTTATCTTGGTAACTGAGGGAAAAGGTAGGAAAAACCCTGTAGGGCCAGAGATTTGAATGACATGATGAACCAAATCTCTACCACGATCTCCTCAGAACTCTCCTCCCAGAAAGTGCAGAACATACATTCTTTCCAAGGTCATAGATGACATTTGCCAAAATCGACCATATGCTGGGGCGTAAAGCAAATCTCAAAACATTTCAAGGGATTGAGATCACATAGTTTATCCTTCTAAACACTGGGATTAAGCTAGCAAGCAAGAAGATGGCTAAAACGTCTCCCAATGTTTGGAAATGAGACAATACGTTTGTTTTTGAAACCCCAGAGATGAGGTGCGCCTGGCTGGCTCAGTCGGTGGAGCATGTGACTTGATCTCCGGGTCGTAAATTCAAGCCCCACGGTGGATGTAGAGATTGCTTAAAAATAAAATCTTAGGGCGCCTGGGTGGCTCAGATGGTTAAGCGTCCGCCTTCAGCTCAGGTCATGATCCCAGGGTCCTGGGATCGAGTCCCACATCGGGCTCCCTGCTCCTTGGGAGCCTGCTTCTCCCTCTGCTTCTCTCTCTCTCTCTCCCTCTGTCTCTCATGAATAAATAAATAAAATCTTTAAAAAAATAAAAATAAAAATAAAATCTTAAATAATAATAATAATAAATAACCCCCAGAGATGAGATCCAGTTGGCTCCACATGGGCCAGGTGTCCATCCACGGACCAGCAAGGGCAGCTGAGGGTGTGAGCACTACTAGACTAGATCAGGTGACCAACCCTGGTCAAGCCACAGTAGCCGGGGAGCGGCGAGTGTCTGTCTGGACTCTAGGAGAATATGGCATTTCCCATTTCCCACACTGGTGGGGTGGGGGTGGCGCCTTGAGCCCACTGAGTGCCGCAGGGGCTAATGGGGCTGCCGGCCGAGCAGTACCAAGCAGTCCCTGCCCCAGACACTCAGAGGTGACCAGAATCTCAGCAGCTCTTTACAATACCGTGAAAACTGCACAGCAGGGCTGTGCCCAGGAAGGAGGCAGGGAAGCAAGGGCCAGAAGCAATCAGAACTAAGGACTGGGGACGCCTGGGTGGCTCAGTCGGTTAAGCATCTGCCTTCAGCTCGGGTCATGATCCCGGGGTCCAGGGATGGAGTCCCATGTCGGGCTCCCTGCTCAGCGGGGAGTCTGCTTCTCCCTCTGCCTCTCCCCACGCAGAACTAAGGATTGGAGGTCCCAGCAAAGACACTGCCTCTTGCGGCACGTGGGTCACCTTAATGTGTGCAGTCTCGTGTAGGATCATCTTAGGATCGACCCCAGAGGCAAAGGATCCAGACAGCCACACTGCTCCCTGAACGCTTCTGCCTCCGCACCGCGGGGTATGCCACGGATGGACCTAGAAGGCATTGTGCTAAGGGAACCGAGCGAGACAAAGAAAGGCAAGTACCATATGATTTCACTCATAGGTGGACTCTAAAAAACAAAACAGAGGAACAAACCAACAAAAACCGGAAACAGAAACAGATCCATAAAGACAGAGAGCAAACTGATAGTTGCCAGAGGGGAGGAGGAGAAGGGGGGTGATGAGCCAAAAGGGGTGAAGGGAAGAGGGAGGACCAGGCTTCCAGCCCTGGAGTAAATAAGTCACGGGGATAAAAGGCACAGCCTGGGGCATATACTCAAGGTTATTTTCATAGCACTATGGGGTGACCGATCAGAGCTACACTTGGGGTGAGCACAGCACAATGTACACACTTGTCCAATCGCTGTGTTGTACCTCCGAAACTAATGTGACACTGTGTGTCAGCTACACGTCAATAAAAAATAAATCAACAAAGGTTCTTGCCTCCGCAGAAGGGTGAAGTTCCCATTTCCCTGACTCATCAACCTGGAGTATGATTATTCCAAACAGGGTTAACATTAATTTAATAGTTGAATAATTATACTTTATTTAATTTGGCGTCCCCCCCACCCCGTTATTTGTGATGTTGGACATTTTCCCGTGTGCTTTCCTTTTTGATTGGAATAGTGTTTTATTTGCCCTATTTACCAATGTACTTCCTGTGCCTTCTTTCAAGAAGACTCATGAGCCTGACTCAGTCGTCTCTTGAACTTAACTTAATGAAATGAATCAGGCTGTTGTCAGTTTTACGTGATTAAAAACTTTTTTTACCTGCAGAATTTTCCAACCCACCAAAAACTTGCAAGAATTGTACCATAAACCCATATATGCTCCACTTAGGTTTACCGATGACCATTTCCCAGTGTTTGCTTTATCTGTTTATATGTAATTATTTTTTTTTAGGATTTTATTTCTTTATTTGAGAGAGAGCAAGAGAGCGAGAGAGCGGGAGCAGGGGGAAGAGCAAAGAGCCTGATGAGGGGCTCGATCCCAGGACCCCAGGATCATGACCTGAGCCGAAGGCAGATGCTTAACCACCCGGGCGCCCCTGTAATTTTTTTTTTTTTTTTTTTTATCGACCATTTGAAAGTAAGTTGCAGACTCTTTGCCCCTAAATACTTCAGGGGATATTTCCTAAGAACTAAGATGTTTTCCTCCAAAACCTCAAACAATGACCTAAATCTGGAAGTTTTTCCTTACTCTGTCTTTCACAGCATTGACATTTGGGGAGAGCACAGGGGATTTTGCAGCCTGCCCCTCAAGTAGGTTTTGTCACCCACAATCCCCTCCCACCCCCCACAGGCTGTGCCTCAAAGGGCTGGAACGTCACCAAAATGCTGCTTCCTCCTCCAGAGTATGATGTGAGGTCCTGCTGTCCATCCTGGTGCAGGAGCTTTGATCCCCGCGAGCGTCAGATCTCTCCTCCTCAGAGGTGTGTGGGGTTCAGCTGTGTTCTTTCTTCTGATTACTGGTCTGCCATTGCCTTCTCGCGGCTTGTTCTTGCTTTCATAAACCTGGGGCTTCACAGCCCAGCTCGGGAGGGCAGCTCAGGCGCAGCCGGCTTCCACGGTACCCAGGGGGACAGCAGGTGAGCTGTCCTCCCAGCCCCTAGCCAACGGGCCCTGCTGCCTGGTCCCCGAGTGCTTGTGTCCTGGCACCCCAGCTGTGTTTATAGAGGACCCCACGGCCACCTCCTGGTCTAACCTCCATCCCTCCCCGGGCCTCGGCCTCCCCATCTGCAACAGGAAGTGACAGGGCTAGGACCTTTTACCTTTCCTGGTAAGGACGCTCAGCATTTGAGTGGGACCATGTTTTGTGGTGTGGGTGTCCCTGACCCTCACCTTGAAATACATCCCCAACCCAAAACACCCCCAAAACATGTCCAAATGGCTCCGAGAAAGGGGCTGTGGCTTCCCGTTGAGAACAGCTATTCATATTAGCTACTATGTATTGAGGACTTCCCACGTGCTGGCCTTGTACCAAGCACTTGATATACTTTATCCCACTGATACTGCAAACAATTCATTTCACAGATGAGAAAAACGAGGCCCAGAAAGCTTGAGGGACAGTCAGGAAGTGTTGGGGCCAGGACCTCCATCCCAGGAGGCCAGACCCTTAACATCCCATCCTGTTCAAGGCTCTCCGCCGATGGAGGCAACGTCACACACTGGTTGTGAGCTCAGGTGTCTGGGTTAAACCTGAACAAGAGATTGAATTGTTGCTCAGCAAGTGCTCCCCCCTCTCCTCCCCTCCCATTGTGGGTAGAGCAGACTGCCCTGTGCCATTGACTTTGGGCCTATGTAACCTGCTTTGGTTGCTGGAACGAGAATGGGCATAACAGAAGCAGAGGCCTCATATGTGCTGGTGTGGTTTGCTTCGATTTCTTGTGCTCTGGTGAGCTACCCTGAGAAGCACACATCCTGGGTAACTGCTGCCCCTTTAGCCTGGGCCCCAGAACCAACACACATGGGGGAGACCTGAACTCAGTTCGGCCCCGCTGACCGCAGACTGAAGCAGAGCCACCAGCCAAATTCAGACTAGACCGGCCAACCCACCCTCACCCCACAGACCTGTTCTTGAGCATAAACACCTGCTGTAAGCCCCCAAGTCTGGGGTGGTTTGTTATGCAGCATTATCATAGGGAGAGCTGACTGATAGAATCTGGGTTCGAGGACCAGGGTGGCCAGGTCCTAGGGGCATCTGCAGGCCTTTGCTTCCTCATCAGTATAATGGTACCGTCCTGGTACTGATCTTATAGGCTTGTTGTGAGGATCCGAAGTGATAATGCTCTCCACACAGTGCTTAGGGCATAGAAAGTATTTAGTCAATGTTCATTATTATTACACTCTCACCACAATGGCTGCTCTTACCATTGGCAGTGACCAGCAGGATCCAGTAAGGAGCCCTAACCTCCACCCTCAAGCACTTGGACAGTTTGAGGTTAATGAATTGCAAGGAGAGTTGGCCCTAGGTGAAGGGGAGTAGCCCCCAGGAGCATTCTGCCCTGGTCCCCGAGTTGCCCCCTCCCTGACCCATACTCCCCCAGTGAGCATCTGGAGCAGGCTGCTCAGGGACCAGATGGCTAAGTGCCTACCGGTGAGGCCTGGCCAGGTCAAAGTGACCCACGGACCATGGAAAACTCAGAGCCAGGCTGTTTCCCCCTCCTTCAGCCCAAGACTTCAATAACCAGCACTTTGAAATTACAGGCTAGCTACAGAACCCAGTCCCTCATGGGCGTGTGCGTGTTAGTGTCTGGATCTGTGTTTCTGAGTGTGTGTGTTTCCAGGTGTGTGCAAGCATGCTTCAGCATCCATGTGAGTGTGTGTGTCTGGTTTACAGTGTGTGTGTGTGAATGTTTCAGTGTTGGGGGGGAGTGTGTCTCTGTGTGTTTGCCTGTGTTTGGGCGCCAGTGGGTGTGTGTATGTGTGATCTGTGTAGGGGGAAGTATATGTCCATGTTTCAGTATGTGTGAGCACGCGTCTGCGTTTCCAGAGCCGTGGATGTGTTGTCTCCAGACTCAGAGCATTGCTGACAGAGGTTGCCTGGGACCCCACAGTGACACCACTCTCCTGCACACACTAGGACCAGAAACACCTGAGGTCCCATCCCGGCTCTGCCACTTACCCACGAATGCATCCTGGGCAAATGTCCCGACCTCCTTGAGCCCCCAGTTCCTCATGGGCTTGTCATGAGGGTCAAAGGCAACAAGCCCTTTGACCGGCTCTCTGTGGGCGGCGTCTGCTGACCTCATGGGAAGCTCAGTCATTCAGAAAGAGGAAGAGATGAACTGTGGAGGGGCCAGGGAGGTGCAGGCTGGCAGGGACAATGGTGAAATCACAGGAAGGGGTCCCAACGCCTAGCAGCTTGCAGTTGGCACCGGAGGACCCAGGGTCAGGGATTTCATCTCCGCATGGCCACTCCATGTTTTTCGTGTTTTGTTTTGCTAATTAATACACTTTAGAGTTCTTTAGCTTTCTAGGTAAAGTGAGCAGGGAGTACACAGAGTTCCCAGATACTTAAAAAAA